CAACACCAAATCGCTATGTTTCTTGTCAACATGTAACTACAATGGGCCAATATTGGGCCAACATCACATGCCCAACACCGTTGGTTTAGCTTTCATGCCAACGTAAATGAACGTTGGACCAATATCACATGCCCAACACCGTTGGTTTAGCTTTCTTGCCAACGTAAATGAACGTTGGACCAACGTTGGGCCAATATCACATGCCCAACACCGTTGGTTTAGCTTTCTTTCCAACGTAAATGAACGTTGGACCAACGTTGGGCCAATATCACATTCCAACACCGTTGGTTTAGCTTTCATGCCAACGTAAATGAACGTTGGACCAACGTTGGGCCTACATCTGTTCCCCAACGCCAACACTCCACCAACCATACAACCAAAAACCAACGTTGGCCCAACGGAGTCTATCTGGGCAAGACATTTCACTTCGCTGAATTTATTCTAAATTTTCAGGCGTGATATAACAGATCAGCAAGCCCCTATCACATTGCATGGCATACGTTAACTGCAACAACTCTGCAAACTAGTTTTGTTTATTAGAATTGACATATTTTAATTACCGCAGGAAACAAAAATCGGTCTAAAGTTCCCCACTGAGTCAGCAAGATAGCTTTATTGTGATTATTTCCCATGCTGTATCGTACAGCAGCGGCGATAGTACAATTTAGTTGCTTCCAAATACGTAAAATGTAAATATAAGGAATGTGCTTAACTTTAGTGTGAATAATTGGTATGTGAATTACACAGACGTGCACGTAGGCATATTTTTCATGAAACGTTAGCGCTTTAAAAAATATGCCTACGTTACAAGTCTGTGTGAACTTTCAAACATTCCTTAATTGAGTTTTAATTGTAAACTAGATCTCAAATGATGAGCAACAAAATGAGCATTGTACTATTTGCACTATTCTTCGTATCGACAACCGCAAATATACCTGAACCAACGGACCCATGTGTGACTGTAAAGAATTCCCTTTTACTTGCCTCACAACTTGTTAAACAACTACAGGGTACTTGCAATGAAAATGTAACAACTGGAGGGAATCAAGAAATGGCAAATTACATAGAATGCGCTACTAAAGGAGATGTGAGAGATATGAAACAAGAATTGATGTCATTGCGTGGTTTAGTACAGAGCTGTAGAAAAGGTTAAATGAATTTTGTTTTTACATGTGACTTTTGATTTCATATGTTGCATCTCCAATCACGTTTATATATCATTTATGAGTCAATTAAATGAATTAGAAATAATTAAAATGAAATTAATATTTTAATATTATTACATCGCAATTTAACAGGGTGTTTGCAAAAATAATTTTACATTTTAAAACATATTAAAAATACATTTAATAACAGTTTTCTTAATAAGTCCTAAGACTTTCCATAAATTTTCAAATAAGTGAATTTTGTCTTAAGTCGGAATTTGAAGAAAAAGAAACTGTTCTATGTTGTGAAACGTATGTTCAAATCTACAAAACATCAATGAACCAAAACTATCATTATGATTACAATATTAATTGACCATGGTCACCTAGCAAAATCTTTTTAAATAAAAAATAGGATTTTTTGTACACATCAGCTTCTATCTTCATATTACCATTTATCATTAAAAGTATTTCTTACGTGAACTGCATTGAATTTAAGTGTGAACAATTCTTTTTTATGTGAACTAAATCATGAACGTATTTTTCAGCAATAGTTAATAGTTATATTACATAATTATATATGATTCATCTTATATGTCCTAGGTATACGTTTAACCAATATTCAACCACATCGGAAAAACTTATTTCATTGTTGTTTTTTTTTTCATTTAATTTGCATCCATTAAATGGGAAATATCGACAACTTCACTAATGAAATATTATGTAATGATTTATTTTTAATTTTAATTGAATCCTTGATATTTTAAATTTTAAAATGATCACAGTGTAATCATACTATTTTTATAGACACGTGTGGCGTATTTTATCCAAGAGACTGTCAGGACCTCTTGCTTCAAGGTCACAGGGAGAGTAGGGTGTACACAATTTTTCCAAAGAACGGGTCTAGCTTCCAGGTTTTCTGTGATCAAGAAACAGACGGTGGTGGATGGACGGTAATAAACATCAAATTGAAATTAACAACGAGCACATGTCTTTTTTCCCTACTCTTTGTAATCATGAAGAATCCTTATTGTAGTGAACAAAAAGAATGAATTTCACGTGAGCCCTCTGGAATATGTAAAAGTGAATTCATTTTCCATAACATAGAAAAGTAATAGTATACCAGGTTCAAACCTGCTTGCATATCTTCTTCCCTAGAAGTGAGACAAAATTTATGCTAATATGATCGCGGCCACAATTATTCATTAATGGAAGTATGTTCGTATTTTATCTCGTTATAGGTCTTGAGAAAAAAGTAACAATAAAGTGTAAAATGATAACAGTTATACAGCTCAACAAACATTTGAAACTCACATGGTTTTTCGCACAAATCAAAGTCACATTGTTATAATGCAAAAATAATGTAATGTGACAACAAAATATATTTCTAAAATGATTTATGACTTAATTTTGATCATATTCCAATTCTTTAAACATAATTCACTCATAATAATTGGTGGGATTTTTATATGCTCTTGCTTGATATCTTATCAGAGTTTCCAAAGTATTTTCATTGTTTCTTGTCAAATGTAACTGTCTTTTTAATCTTTCACTTTAAAGCATACTTTTGCCTTGCTTTTATGCAGGAACAGTGCAGCTCATGTAACTTCTGTATTTTCTGAACATTCATAAAACACTAAGGCGCAAGATGAAAGAAGTATTTCTCATCTGTTCGACTGCTTTCTATGTTAAAAAGATGGTATATCATCAGGTTAACCTCCTGAAATCTAGCATCATGAAAGATACCTTCCATCACAAAATTTCAGAGTTTAAGACCATAAATATAAAAGAATTTTCTTTTCGATATTTACAATTTACTTTGTTGTAAGATAAACAATACTTTATTATCCCATCCTTTTACATGATTTCTTTATGCAGTTTTGTCATTTTTCGGCGCTTAATTTCGACAAAATCAAGACAAGTATAGAAAATGTGCAAAGCAAATAGTATCAAAGAAAGGTCCATTAATTAATTTGTAAAAGCCTTTGCTAGAATCATACACATTTAACATCATACAATTTATAAAGAAATTTCCTTTTAGAACACTGACTTTTAAAACTTACGAAAATGATTTTAGAGAAAGTGCACTTATAACATGAAACAACATAACACAACAAGGGTTATGTCTCGATAATTCTAAGCTTTATTGTAAGAAAAATGTGACTTTAATCTGTGCGAAAAACCATGTGAGTTTAAAAAGTTTGTTTAGCTGTACAACTCTCAAAAACGACTTCATTTCTCCTTTCGGTATATGAGAAAGTTTATAAGCTAATTTCAACAGTTAATGTATGTGTCAATTATCACATCAATAACTCAGGGAATCCAGACGTATTTATTTTTAGCTCACCTGAGCCGAATGCTCAAGTGAGCTTTTCTGGTCAAAATTTTTCCGTTGTGTTTCTGTCCTCTTTGTTGTTGTCGGTGTAAACTTCTCACATTTCCATCTTCTTTTCAAGTACCACTGGGTCAATTTCAACATGCCACAAAGTATCTTTGGGTGAAAGGGAATCAAGTTTGTTCAAATGTGGGACCAAGCCCTCTTCCGAAGGGAGATAATTATGAATAATGAAAAAATAATGGCATCTTTAAAAACTTCGAGAAACTTTGAAACGGAGTTAGGGGTTAGTGAGGGGTCGCAATTGGAGATCAAATAATATGTTGGAAAAAATTTTTGAAATCTTCTTTTCAAGTATGGCAAAGTTATACATGTATGCTTTATTGATATAGTGAGATTCTAAAGTAACAGACAATTAAAATCCACCTCCCCAAAAAGTAAATTTTTAATGCTAGGCTGATATGTGTTTTTTTTTAACTAGCCCATGTGCTCAGGTGAGTGATGTTGCCCATGGACCTCTTGTTAAATTAAATATTCTACTTAAAGGTTTTACAAAGGCGGCAGGATGGATCTGAAGATTTTTTCAGAACCTGGTATGAGTACAAGACCGGATTTGGAAATCTGTCAAATGAGTTTTGGCTTGGTAATGTCAACTGTTGAATGTGCTTCTGGATATTTTTTTCATAAATGTTTTCGAGGCAAAGTTAATTCTTTTATTATCAATTAATAAGGATTTTTATATTTCTGATTACAACAATACCAAAAAAAGTTTTTGAACAATTGTAAAAGAAAGGGTTTATATAAAAATGTTAAATCTTTTAAAGATGTGCAAACAGTGAAAATACTTATATATCAAACATATGAGAATTTTACAAACAAAACAAACATGAATATGTCTACATAAGGATATCAAAATTAATTTAGGGTCATTGTTTTAATATGTCTCTTGTTTATATTTTTTCATTAGCTTTTAAATTCATGAAACAAGGATATATAATCCCTAAGCGTTGTTTCGCATTTTTTAATGCAAGAAAATATGGAAGATTCTTCACTTAGGACACATAAACACATGCTAAGGCCAAGTACTAAGAATCCCCTGGCGTTCCCTTGTATCATCATCATTTATACATGTAGGACATTTGAATAAAAACTGAATGAATCTCTTTTCTCATTTTTTTCTGAACAGGGAATGACAAAATCCACACCCTTTCAGAATCCGGGAATTACTCTTTAAGAATCGACCTGAAGGATTTTTCCGGAAATTCTCGTCATGCTAGCTACAGTACCTTCAATGTTGGAAATGAAGAATCGGGATATCTCTTAAAGGTCCTAGGTTACACCGGGAATGCTGGTAACTTATTTTTTTGCATGTTAGCCAATAACTGATTACGTCATTATTTTATGTTAACCACATATTGATTACATTATGTTCTAATGTCAACAATGTATTTCTTTAGTCAACTCAATGTCTATTCACAACAATGCTACATTCGTCACCAAGGATCGGGATAATGAGAGATCGTGTGCAAATAGATTGAAAGGGGGTTGGTGGTACCGAGCTTGTCACGAAGGTAACCTTAACGGTCTGTACTTGAGAGGAGAGCATAAATCCTATGCTGACGGTATAAACTGGTATAAATGGAAAGGATATCACTATTCCTTAAAGTATGCTGACATGAAAATCAGGAGAACAATTAACTAAAATCTAGACAACCATATTCAGACAAATTATGAGAGAACATCATTTATAGAAATGAATTAATAAAATTAAGAAAATATTAACTTGTTTTCATTTTCGTTTTTCCTTCATTATCTAAAATTACATAAATATTCTAAAAGAAATGTTTAAGGGGGCCGACTATGGTTTTATTGTGTGAAAACTGCAATAGCGAAACTCTTCATTTTTATACAATATATAATTTACATTACCTGTAGTGTACATGCAAAGTTTTGGGGAAATCTACCGTCCAGGTATTTTGGAGGGACCGTCTCAAAATTCAGGTTTATTCACTATAGGAGTATATAGGAAAATATGCCAATTTTTAGCACGTTTAAGCAAATTATACAAATACATGTACTACAATAGACTTTTTGTTCAAACTATAATATTTGATGAGTAATGCTATGTTGTTGTGAGATGTGTATTGTTTCATTATGTATATTATTATTAACATTAAGTTTCTTGAACATTCCAGAGTGGTCAATATGTTTGGTCATTTTTTCTAGAACATTCTTGAACTTTGTTTATGTCTAGAACTTTCCAGGAATATCATGTATTTACAATTTCTAGAATATTCTAGATTTATTTTACTGTATAAATACCCTGTCAATTCGATGCATAGAGAATTGTCGTATAAGCATCATTGAGGTATTACTGGGATATAATTTCACTGGGACATTGTGTGCAGCAACGGACACACTGATGTATGTATTTTTAGATTTTTGCTAAGTTTGTACTTAATGATTTGTATATTACTGTAAATAAATTATTGTTAAGTTTAAACTGTGTGATTGATCTTTGCTGGAATTTAGGGTTATTCTGACCCATAACAGAATTGGGGGCTCGTCCGGGATCAAGAATTTTTTTTTTTTGCACTTTTGCAGTTTATTGTCAGAATTTTGTTAATTGAACCTTTAAATTAAATTATAAGCCAGCAAAAATCAACATGGTATTTTCGGTCACAGACTTTCTTAGTTCACCAAGTGTTCAGGTTTTTGATACGTTAAAAAAGGATGACTTGATCGCATTAGGTTTGCATTTTGGGTTAGATGTTAAATCCTCTCAGAGAAAGCAAGACATTAGAATTAAGGTTGCAAACAAACTAGTAGAAGAAAACATCTTTGAAAAATATGATCTTCCAGAATATACAGTTAAATCAGAATTAGGCTCTTACAAAATGGCAGAATATCAGTTTCAATTAGAGTTAGAGAAAATGCGATTAGAAAGAGAAAAATTAGAAAGAGAAGAACGAGAGCGTGAACGAAAATTTGAATTAGACAAATTAGAAAGAGAAGAACGAGAGCGTGAACGAAAATTTGAATTAGACAAATTAGAAAGACAAGAGCACTTTGAGTTAGAGAAATTAAGATTACAGCACCAACCAGAACCGTCATTTGTCAAGAATGAATTTGACGCAGCAAAAAACATTAGGTTAGTTCCGAAATTTCAAGAAAAATCTGTAGACAAATATTTTCCCCAATTCGAAAAAGTCGCAGAGAATCTTAAATGGCCACAAAATGTTTGGTCAACAATGTTACAAAGTGTACTGGTTGGCAAAGCAGCTGAGGTATACTCTGCACTAGGGGTAGCTGAAAGTTCAGACTATGAGAAGGTCAAAGCAGCAATATTAAAAGCATATGAATTAGTACCTGAAGCATATAGACAAAAATTCAGAAAGTATAGGAAGTTTGATAACCAAACATTTGTTGAATTTTCACGAGAGAAAGAATATTTGTTCGATCACTGGTTTAGATCTAAGAAACTTGATAAAACCTTTGCTAATTTGCGCCAAGTCATCCTGGTAGAAGAGTTTAAGGAATGTGTTCCTCAAGATTTGAAAACACATTTAGAAGATAAGAATGTAAAAACTCTTGAAGAGGCAGCAGTCATATCTGATACTTATGCTCTATCTCATAAAAAGAATTTTGTATCAAGATCTCAGACTAGCAGCAATTCTACCAATTCAGACACATATAAAAAGAGTGGTTCAGGGTCTCAGTCTTTCACAAGTTCCCAGTCTCCATCCCAAGGTGGTTCTAAGTCCGGTCCAGGACGTTTTGAAGGATCTTCTGGAATAGTGTCGCTTCCTACTTGTAGTTATTGTATGAAAAAGGGTCATCTGATCAGTGAATGCTTTAAACTTAAGAGAAAAAATGATTTTGATAAAACTCAACCACACGCTTGTGCGGCAGTTCGAGGTGATAGAGAAGCCTTAGTTTCGATTTGTTCTGACACTCCTGATGTCCAGGGTTCACAGTCCAGTTCTATTGATTCTATGGAGGATTATAAGCCCTTTATGTCTCAGGGTTTTGTTTCACTCGGTGACTCTAGCGAAATTAAACCTGTCCAGATTTTGAGAGATACTGGTGCTGCACAGACGTTATTGTTACAGGGCGTGCTTCCTTTGTCTGAGCAGACTTCTACTGGTGGGTCAGTTTTATTACAGGGTGTGGAGCTAGGCGTCATTGATGTTCCCCTGCATAGAATTAGTTTGAAGTCAGATTCAGTTACTGGACCTGTTATCGTAGGTGTTCGACCTACTCTTCCCGTTCCAGGCATTTCTTTGTTGCTAGGCAACGATTTAGCTGGTGGAAAAGTTGTACCAGATCCTATAGTTTGTGAGAAAATCACTCCAGATGTTATGTGCGATGATGAAGATGATGACATTTATCCAGCCTGTGCTGTTACTAGAGCGATGGCCAGAAGACGAGAAATGGAGGCAGACCATACTCAAGCCTTTGACGAGACGAATTCCTCTGTTGATATTGATTTGAATGACACTTTCTTATCTGACCTTGATGGCACTCAAACCAGCATGGAACCACATAATATCAAGAAGCAAGAGAAGAAAGAATTTTTACCAAAATTTGGTGGTGAGGATGATGTTAGCCAAGGCAAGGACATCCTCAGCCGAGAACGTTTACTCTCTGAACAACATAAAGACCCAGATATCATTCAACTTAGTAAGAGGGCACTTCCACCAGAAGAGGCTATTAAAGTTGGAGAATGCTTCTATATGAAAGATGGCATCCTTATGCGAAAATGGCGACCACCTGACGCTTCTCCAGATGAAGTGTGGCGTGTTGTTCACCAGACAGTGGTCCCAGCTGCTTATCGTCGAGATGTCATGAGTTTAGCTCACGATACACCTATGGCTGGTCATTTAGGTATCAATAAGACTTATAATAGGATTTTGAGTCATTTTTATTGGCCTAAGCTAAGAAAGGATGTTTCGAAGTTTTGCAAGTCATGCCATGTCTGTCAGATGGTAGGTAAACCAAATCAGAAGATACCATCTGCTCCTCTCCAACCCATTCCAGCTTTTGAAGAACCGTTTAGTCGAGTGTTGGTGGATTGTGTAGGACCTTTGCCTAGGACTAGGTCTGGAAACCAGTATTTACTTACCATTATGTGTACATCCACTCGATTTCCTGAAGCCATACCTCTTAGGAATATAAAGGCAAAGAGCATAGGTAAGGCCCTAACCAAGTTTTTCAGTTTTGTAGGAGCACCCAAGGTAATTCAGTAGGATCAAGGCTCAAATTTTATGTCGGGGTTGTTCCAGCAAGTCATGCATGAGTTGGGTATAAGGCAATATAGATCAACTGCTTATCATCCTGAGTCCCAGGGAGCGCTAGAACGTTTTCATCAAACCCTAAAAACAATGCTGAAGACCTATTGTTACCAGTATGAGAAAGACTGGGAGGAAGGGGTTCATCTTGTGCTATTTGCTGCATGAGAAGCAGTCCAGGAGTCTCTTGGATTCAGTCCTTTTGAATTGGTGTTCGGTCATACAGTTAGAGGTCCTTTGAAATTGTTAAAGGAAAAGTGGCTGACTGAGACTAGTGATCTTAATCTTTTAGATTATGTGTCTGATTTCAAAGAAAAACTTTACAATGCTTGTAAATTAGCACAAGAAAATTTGAAGAGTTCTCAGATGAAAATGAAAATGTGGTATGACAAAGATGCCAGAAATAGGGTGTTTAAGCCAGGTGATAAGGTTCTTGTATTTTTACCTATTCCTGGTCATCCTTTACAGGCCAGATTTTATGGCCCTTATGAAATTGAAAGCAAGATCAGTGATGTAAACTATATAGTTAAGACACCAGGTCGACGTAAAGAGAAACGGGTTTGTCACATTAACATGTTAAAAGAGTATTTTGAAAGGTGTGACCGAAATTCTGTAAAACCAGTTTCCACTTTAGCCAATGCTAAGACTGTTCAAAATTGTATTGAAAGTGATACAAGTGTAGAAATGAATGATAAAGATTGTAATCAGAGTGTCCGCTTGAAAAACTCAGAAATTTTGGCTGATTTTGATGCCAAACTTGGACATTTGAACATTCACCAAAAAGAACAAGTTAAAAACTTGATGAATGAGTATCGTCAAATCTTCTCGGATGTTCCAAAGAAAACTAATGCAGCTTGTCATGATGTTATAGTTGGCGACGCTCTGCCTATCAAACAACATCCGTACCGTCTGAATCCAATAAAATTGCAGTACCTAAGAAGGGAAGTGCAGTATATGTTGGACAATGACATTGTTGAACCTAGTAAAAGTAACTGGAGTTCACCTTGTATTCTTGTACCAAAACAGGACGGTACCTACCGATTATGTACAGACTTTAGAAAGGTGAATTCTGTTACCAAAACTGATTCATATCCAATACCTAGAATCGATGACTGTATTGACAACATTGGAAACGCGAAATTTGTCGGTAAATTTGACCTGTTGAAAGGCTACTGGCAAGTACCGTTAACAGAAAGAGCAAAAGAAATATCTGCTTTTGCTACACCAGATGGACTTTACCAGTATAAAGTAATGCCTTTTGGCATGAAAAACGCACCGGCTACATTCCAAAGAATGATTCACTCCCTTCTTCAAGACCTTGAGGGATGCGAGGCCTACATTGATGATGTCATCATATACAGTGACACATGGGACGAACATCTCCGAATCATGCGTGCTTTATTTGACATTTTAGCTAAAGCAAATTTAACTGTGAACCTTGAAAAGAGTGAATTTTGCCATGCTTATGTAGAGTATTTAGGTCATAAAGTAGGTCAAGGTTATGTTACACCCATTATGGCTAAAGTGGAAGCTATTGCAAAGTTCCCGATTCCTACAAACAAGAAAGAATTAATGAGGTTTTTGGGCATGGCTGGGTTTTACAGAAAATTTTGTCCAAATTTTTCCTCAGTTGTTAGTCCACTTACAAATCTTTTACAAAAGAGGGTTAACTTTGAATGGACAAAGGACTGTGAAAAATCGTTTCATAAAATCAAATCTGTCCTTATGAGCAATCCAGTTCTGTCAACTCCAGATTTTTCTAAGCAATTTAAGCTTACTGTTGATGCTAGTGATGTTGGAATCGGGGCAGCTTTGTTTCAAGAACATAGTGATAAGGTAGATAGAGTTGTTTCTTATTTTTCAAAGAAACTTACAAAATGTCAACAAAAGTATTCCACCATTGAAAAGGAATGCCTTGCTTTGTTGTTAGCCTTACAGCATTTTGATGTTTATCTGAATGTTACTTTGCATCCAATTCTTGTATATACGGATCACAACCCCCTGACATTTTTGCATAAATTGTCAAACAAGAATCAAAGACTGACTAGATGGAGTTTGTTGTTACAAGAATACAACATAACAATTAAGCATATCAAAGGCAAAGACAATGTTATTGCAGACGCCTTGTGAAGAGTATCGTAAACATACTAGATTTTGTATTAATGTACATAACTTTTATTTTAATAATATAAGTTTTCATTGACATTCAAACTTTTTAAGGGGGGAGGTGTTGTGAGATGTGTATTGTTTCATTATGTATATTATTATTAACATTAAGTTTCTTGAACATTCCAGAGTGGTCAATATGTTTGGTCATTTTTTCTAGAACATTCTTGAACTTTGTTTATGTCTAGAACTTTCCAGGAATATCATGTATTTACAATTTCTAGAATATTCTAGATTTATATTACTGTATAAATACCCTGTCAATTCGATGCATAGAGAATTGTCGTATAAGCATCATTGAGGTATTACTGGGATATAATTTCACTGGGACATTGTGTGCAGCAACGGACACTCTGATGTATGTATTTTTAGATTTTTGCTAAGTTTGTACTTAATGATTTGTATATTACTGTAAATAAATTATTGTTAAGTTTAAACTGTGTGATTGATCTTTGCTGGCATTTAGGGTTATTCTGACCCATAACAATATTATACAATATATGTAAGAAACACAAAGAGCATTCTACCGTTTTGGTATTGTGCAAAACAACATCGTTCCCCTTAATGTCGTTACATGTTTTTATATCATCAAGGACTTTTGATAATATTTATTATTTGAATCATATTTAATTTAGGTTAAGTGTTAAGTTTCATAACTGAAATGCGTTTGCATCTACTTTGATATACTAACATTTCAAAATATGACTTCATTAACATTTTAATCAAACGAACATGCAAAAATCATTCTTTCACATTTACTTATATTTTTACGATGAAACCGCTTTAGGGAGAAGGCAGTGCATTTTTGTACAACACTACACACCTTTTCAGAATTACATTCTGCATAATATAGTTTTCAGTAAACTCCTCAAACGTGTTATAACTGCGTAGCGTACATTTGTGTTATATGCTATGCACTGTAGAGGATTATTTGAAGTGTGGAATTTGATAATAAAAAAATGTTAGTACAATGTGCAGATTTCAACCCGAACATCCTCAGTTCGTACACGCTGCTTATGGAGCTTGGTACACTTCGTGCCGCCTCGCTGCACTCGATATAACAAAAAAGTACCAGATGTAAAAATGATTAGATCAAGCAACATGAAACAGCATCAATCTTTCAACTCGTTTAGAAAATTGTAAGGAAGTCTTGATTATGTTTCTTCAAAATGAATGGCGGAGTTAATTGGGTATTGTGCACTTGGTACATGTAATATATTCTTTACCGCAATAAAAGTATATTATTTTATTTTTGAAATATGATTTTATCCCTTTAAGCTTTTTACTTGGGCCAATGCATCAATATTTGAAAGGAAATAATCGATGGACTAAGTGGTTAAAAAATATCTTATTGCGTTCATTCCATTGTATTGTATATATAGAAGGTAATATACCATCTACATTTATCTTTTTAAATATTTAAGAGTTAAATCGGTATCCACATTGTATATGTAATTAATATGATATGGCAAACTTTATTTAAATTTTTTTTTTCAACACAATGACGTTTCTGATTTCAAGGTAAAAGATTCACGTAACCTTTTGAACAATAGACGTATTAATATTCTTATTTCAGCTCGTCGGGACAATATGTTCACTGGAACGAAAATAAAAAATCCTTGATCCATAACCAATTCAGATTTCAGCAAGATTAAATATGCTCTATGTATCGTGCAATTTTGACACCTGTTTGAATTTTGAAGTTACTTTCATTTAATGATGGAAAGGTAAGTGAATTATAAGATGTTGGACATCAAGATTTCTTTTCCAGGCAATCTTTAAAAAGAAAACATTTGTTTATCCTTCTTGATTCCGAAATGAATATTACAGGGAAAACATGAGACTTACAAACGTTTATAGTCGCGCCATTTTAGTCGATCAGTCGGACGAAGGCACGCAGATAAATTATTGAGCCTCGAATGATGTCAAACATTCAATTCTGTGTTTAATTTCAGAAGATTAAAGTTGTCATTATAATGTTAATGAATTGCTGTCTCTTAATAACATTGAAAGTAAAAAACAAAACATAACTTTTCTCAGTGATGTGTAAATATATTAAAGTCTATCGAAAATATAAACTTTTGAAAACTTATTATATGCTTATATGCACGTTTTTAAAATGTTTCTTTAGGTCCGAGGAGTTATTGACAGTTGAGGACAGGGCACAGTTATCCACATTTATTGGCAAAAGCAGCAGTTTTGAACTGTTATATAAAATAAGTCGTGATGGTTGTTCGGCGACAAGGTTTCACCAGTCCTGTGACTACAATGGTCCTACAGTAACGGTCCTTTACGATACTAATAATAGCGTGTACGGGGGATTCCTTTCAGAAGACTGGAAAGTAGGAAGGCCTTCAACAAGCATAGAGGATAGAAAAGCCTTCGTTTTCACTTTACGCGACAGTGGTGTTTCAGAGCCAATGAAGTATCCCGTCATAAAACCTGAACATGCTGCATTTGCATCGAAGGAATTTGGGCCAACCTTTGGTGCAGGGAGTCTTCTGGATATTGATGAACCTAAACAATTAGTTCATAAACATAAGAAAATGGCTTTTAGAAAAACTGGGGCCCCTCAGAACCACCAATTTGATGATGCAACTGTAGATCTGTTAACATTTTATGGAACTGTAGAACCAACTGTGGATAGATGTACAGGGACCCAAAATTATGAACTAAATGGAAAAGCTGATTTCAGATTTGCCTATAGGGGAGACAATGAGCCTATGTGGTGCGCATATCCCATGTGCGTCTTTGATCTAGAGGTGTATAAAGTTAAAGGTTTGAAATATCAATTTAATAAGCATACATTGTTGTTGTTTGCTATTTATTTGGAATCACGTTTTTTTAAACAGCATTTTTGATAAAAAGTTCACCAACAAACTTGCTCGCCTGATAAAAGAAACCATATCACTAATTTTACGAGGGTTGTCCAAATAAGTCGTAGAGAATGCTTATGACTCTTTTAACATTCAACCAAAACTAACCAAATTTTGCAGAAACATAATATATTCAATGTTCTCTAAATTTGTGAATTCTTGATTATACATCTTTCATATAATTAACATTGGAACGATTTATATGAATGCCGCAATGGTCTGTCGGTGCACGAACGAAATTAGGAATAATTTACGCATATAACAATTACATTAAAATTTTCTTTATTTCTTTGGTACTATGTAAAACATTGAACTCAAATTTAAATCAGTGTAATCAGAACAAAATCTAGATAACATGTCCATTTTTATATATCGGTAAATAGCATTAGACTGACGATTGGTGAATTGATTTTCAAAGTGTTGTTGGAATTGTGTTTGATGAAATTGACGTCCTCAACCCGTAACCGGCGCACGGAAATGTTATAAATTGTTTTGGATATGTTTTATATACATCAGAGACGAGAAAAAAGAGTATAGAAATGACATTACTCATTATTTCTAAAAGATAAGTTGTTTTAAAGGGTATGCGATTGAATGATAGTTTTTCTATAAACCGAACATAGTCACTGCATGTAAGAAGAAGAGTACTGTTTGTTAAATGTCTTCTAATCTTCTAAAAAAAAATGAACAGTAGTAAATATAGATAAGCCCCTTAGACAAGAATGGGTTTTCACTTAAAAAAAACATTTAATTTATTGGAAGATAAATTAACAGACATGTGTATAGCAGAAAAATAGATCATGACGTTATAAAAGACGTTAATTACGCTGTTTTTGTGCTCCGATGTGCACCTATGGGTCAATATAAAAAAGCAGCTAAACGTGTCACTTCTGTGTAAAATCTTATTTCTTATTTTCTCCCATTTTTGGATTGTTGCTTTACAATCTATGACATCTATACTTTCTATTTACTAATAATTTAATTCTGGTTGTAACGCTGTATTTGATTGGATAAAAAATTATTTTATATTGTATAAAATGGTTTACCTACGTCACAATGACTCGCGTCAAAAACGTATTAATCCGCACGATGTTACATTCAAATTTTGTACAAATTAAAGTCATTTTGTTGGAACAATCGTCTTTTTTTCTTACATCAAATGAATGAAAATTAAATTATAAGCAATGAATTTAATAGCTACCCATTTTATACGGTATAAACTGGGTTGGAACAGTTTACGCTTTTTTTATAAACCGCTTCGCGGTTTATAAAGCGTAAACTGCCCCAACCCAGTTTATACCGTATAAAATGGGTAGCTATTAAATTCACTCCTTAAATGGAAATTTTCACATAATTAATTACATTTAAGTCAATGAATGATTTTATCACACCAATCAGTCAAATTCATGCTGTCAATGGAATTTTTCTCTTCAAATAAAGATAAATACGCCAAAAATGATATGAATTTTTTTCTGAAAAATCACGTATGCATAAAACAAATGTTAAATAGAATAAATCTTAAAATGAAAAAAAAAAATGAACCCCGTCTTCCATTTACCTGATACAGCATTAAATTTGACTGTAAAAAAAAGTTGTGTCATTGGTGTTTCTATTTTTCTTTTTGCTACAAAATAGTGATCATTCCTGATAAGAGAATATTAACAGTCCTAAGTCATATTACATCACTTCTCACCAAATAAAACAGAAACTGTTCCTTGATATTCATGATCTGAACATATTGATGAACGTCAGAAGTAAAGAAAGTGGACTACAAACTTCTTTTGTCAGTGGTGTGTCCATCGTTAATTCAAAGCGATTTTAGATATTCATTGAACTCTTTTACGAAAGATGTTCTTAAGGTGAACTAGCAATGTGTACAAAACTTTAACTTTATCCAGGGTAAATTAGAGATACAAGATAATTTTATGACTAATACGTCATTGGTTTTACTGTCATTGGCAATACTTCCTAGAGATTAACACCAATGACAGGAATGGTTACACCATTGACAAAACAAGTAGTTTTGGAGAGATATATTCTTCTTATATAGAAAAATTATTTTTTTTTGTATTCTGCTTTGCAAACCTAATTCATGGTGTTTGAAAGTAATTGATTTATTTTCTAATAATTTTTTTTCCACTTACAGACATTTTAAATATATGGTAATGCCAATGACAACTTCAGATCATTTACATTTAACTTCAATGACAAACATTTTTTATGCTCATAAAATATATTTTCCCCTCTTAAAAATTCACACGCCTTGCATGAAGGTCAGAGTTTATCACCTAAGTGAAGTAAAACAAATCAAATTAACTTAGTTTGTTTAAATCTCTCAACGAATAGTTACCTTTTATGGTAACACCAATGACAGTGAAGTAACACCAGTGACAAGAGATTTTGATTAATACATTTTATCTACTAGTTCTTTAATGAAGAATGGGGGATTTAAAACATTATATCTTTCACAATTGAGAACCTTTTACCCTACAAACATTATTTTTTTCAAACCAATGATAAACCAACACTGTATTTCTTTCAGCTTTTACCATGCATTTTTATACAGTATATGTGTGGGCTTAATTGAAGGAAAATATAAGAAAAATATAACGTTTGCTATAGGTTTTTTTTTTCTATATATATTTTTTTAAAGTTACTTACATATCCACATAAATCACTTTCTTCAAATGATTAAATGACAATACATCTCATGTTGCTCTGCATTATTCTATGGTCACAACGGGATACATTGTAAGTCTCTGTCACTGGAATAACCAGATTTCTGTTTGTTATAAGATCATTTTAAGCATGAAATACCAGAAACTTATTTCATTTTTGTATGTGAGCCATGCTGTGTATTCTGTCTTTCACAAGAATTTTCACTTGCTAATTGTTAAGTGATAAGTCATTGGTATCACTATTTTCGATCATTGATGTTACAGTTGAGTCAGTGGAGTAACTGACCTAAAACTTATTTTTCATTTTAATAAGTTTAAATTTTACTTTAATTACCTAATTTCACTCCTTAAAAAAATCATAAACTATGTTACTTTATTTTGATTTATACACACATGGCACCACATTTACAGCACAGTTTAGCGTGCGTCTATTAATTATTGTACTATGTCTCATGTCAATGTCCAAATATGATTGAAAACTTAAATTTCATCACTGGACAACGATACCTTTTGGACTTATCAGTAAACCTGAATAATCCTAGTAAATGTTTATCATAGCTTGCATTCATAAATTTTTCACTTGGTTCTATACAACAAAATTGTATAAGGTAACACCATTGGAGAAAAACACAGTTTTGATAATTTTTACGAGAATATTCTGTAAAAAATAGCTTCCCTACTGTTTGCTAAATGTTGTTTTTCCCAAAATATTGTGCAGTTTTATCAATTTAGATACAAAAAAAGAAACGGAAATATTTAATTGTATCTCCAATTTTCAATATGAACCATTCAGCTGCTTTCTTTTATATTGACCCATAAATGCTTTCTTTTTTTTCATAATTTTCTTTTTAAAAGTGGTATCGTCATTAAACTTGAAATGCGTGGTCATAAAATATTATTTGTTGCTATGACAAGAAAAGAAATTAACTTTAGCAAAGAGAAACTAAATGGTTTTTACTGTCCACGACTTTTTGGGACAACCCTCGTTTATGTTATTTTAAGTATTTACTGAATTTTAAAAAAAGTTTCAATATCTGTAATCAGAACTTACTGGTACTGTTTTTTTTTTTTTTTTTTTTTTTTTTTGTTATTTTTCTATTGTTTTTGGTTTTTATTTGATAATTCTGACATTTTTTTGCAAATATAAAAATTACATTAAGATATAGAAAGCAAATGGGAATTTAAAACAATCGTTATATACGGTGAACATTCTTGAAATAAGAAAAAAAACCATTTCTCTCTAAAATGTTACAGTTGGTAAAAGTTTACTTTTTCCAAAGCCCTCTCATGAGACATGGAGAGAGTTTCCTTGCTGGGATGAACAGGTAATTCTTTGTCTTCTTAAAACTAATACATGTGCATAAATTAAATGGTAATAATTTTGCAATATTATTATTAGTATATTTTAGGGATGTCAAATCTGTCAATATTTGATAATACCGGTTACTCGGACGGTTTTCCGATTGAGTACCCGGATACTCGGTTTAATTGTACATGAAAATACATGTACAACTCCGTAATTTTTCTTAAACACCAATATTGTTTTTAACTTTTTATTATGCTTTTAGTGCATGTTTAAAAAACAGAGTCCAAAGGAAATGATTTATTGTACTTAATTGATTTATTTTAAAAAAGCATACACGAAAGACATCAATTTGATACACCAATAATTATAAATAATTATGTTTCGGAAGACCTTTAATCAATCTGCTACCCATCTTTGTAAGGATCACACTAACGAAGCAGAGGGAACGGACATTCTTGAGATCCCTTGTCGTGTATAATTGTTTTAACCCCCCCCCCCCCCTCAGCTAAATTTACTCCGGATAGCTGACTTGTTTTCAAAATATTTAATTATATGTATTACCATTTCTTTACATTTTTAAGTCGGTAGCGGCATACCTATGCATGTAAGATTTCGGTAACGTTTACTAAAAATTTAAAATGATTCAAAGATAACATCAGACCATACTTAAATGATCCTCATCGAAAAGAAATCATTGAAGTCATCCAACAACTAAGGATCGCAAAAGGTGAGAAAAGTGGGTAATTTGGCACTAATTACTCTACATATACAAATACAACCATTGGCGATAACGGATGTTTTACAAGTGTAGGCGGCGGCAATCTAATTATCGTATGCACATTTAAATTAATTTTAAAAAAAATTGATGAATATATGTTCTTTGGAACTAGAAAAATATATACATCCAAGTAATCGAATACCAGTTTTTGTATTCGATACTCGGACGTTCGATCGAGTACGTGGGTACTCGTTGACATCTCAAGTATATTTCTTCAATAAACAAAAGACATGGTCACTGTGGCTTTTGGCCAAGTCCTCAATGCTTCCACAAAATTCCATATAAGATATCATAAAGTCCACTATATATGAAGTTATCATATTTTGTTTTATTAAATTTTGTTTGGCGCAGTGGTAAGAAGCGTCTGCAACTATTTTAAGGGAATGCAAAACCCTAAAAAAATCTTCAGGAAAGGTGTGCTGAAGATTGTGTATAATGTGTTGAGTTATAGCTTGAAATTATGTGCACTCCTTTTCATAGTTATTTTTTAAATTATGTATGTATTATTTTCAAATTGTTAATGGTTGGTGATTGATTTCAACTTTTCTATCAAATATGATCTTTTTAAAATACAAATTATAATTTCTGATAAATATTCATTTGCAAATCTAACGTAACTACCATCCCAAGTTTCAAAGGCTGCACTACATGTAATTGCAAGGAAACATGTCATGTGCTCTTAACTAATTGATGAGCGAGTAATTATTTATCATTTTTTGAAAAGTTTGAATCTTGTGACAAAGACTTTTGCCACATAGTTTCAACTTTAAATGATACTGTAAATGTATTTTATTTGGCGCGTACGATATTTGGCGGAAATTGATTTTTCAAGAAGTTGGCGTAGATTTGATTCAGCGGATTTGTTAATGTTCTGTTTTATGCAATGTTTGCTTTTCCGTAGACATTTCGAAAATTAAAGGACACAGTTTCCAATTATAAACCCTTAGACGATTCGGGTTTATCTGAAGTGAACATCTTATTAGTAGGGCATATTGGAGCTGGGAAATCCAATTTTTTCAACACTGTAAACTCAATATTCCGAGAAGAAGTGACAGCTCGGGCATGCGCAGGAAACTCAAAACATAGTCTTACTACAGTTGTAAGTAGTGTTTTGCCCATCTGTTCCATGGTTGATGCAATAAACTTTTCAGGATTTTGAACTGATTTTCAAACTTACATTAAAAAAATTCAAAATATTATTACTATTTTCTTAACTTTTATTCGTACTAATGAAACTGTCGACAAAGATTTTGACAATTCATTATTATTATATATCAAAAAATCTTTAAAAATTCGGAAGATTGAATTACTGGATTATTTTCAAGAGAAAAGGAAAACTATATAATAATAAATTTTCATATGAAAATTGAGAATTAAATGCACTATTAAACATATGTTAAATGTTAACTGATTTTTTTTTTCATTTTTTGTTAATAATTACACTGTAGTATCGAAAATATCGAATTAGAAACCCGGAAACTGGTGGGTATTTAAACTTCCGCCTCTGTGATACACGTGGAATTGAGGAAGATATGTGCATCAAACATCAGGATATGGTATCCTTATTAGACGGACATCTCCCTGATCAACACAAGGTAAACAAAAATGCAGATTATAAATAGACTTGCATTCTTTACCATCTACTTTAGATAAAGCCATTTAGCAAATTCGAAATCTCACTTGATAATTTGCAATATAAATGTTCATTATGCAAAAAAAAAATGACTTCTTGATGAATAAAATGGATTAGTTTAGCATGCACGAAAATCAAAATCAACAACGTAGGATTCTTTACTTAATTACCGAAAATAAATTTTGAGCATATTTCTATTACTGGGGAAATTTTGAGGAAATGGATATCTCCATATGTTTTATTCAAAAATTCATTGCCTATAAATTCAAAACGGAAAATATTCAAAAAAAAATAATTTTTGTATACACTTTAATTTTTAGTTTAATCCTACGGCTCATGCTACCGAAAAGGACCCTGGCTTTAATACAAAACCTACCTTTAAGGATAAAATACATTGTGTAGCTTTTGTTATGGATGCGAGTACCATTGATGTTCTTCAAGGATCAGTCTCGCAGAAAATGGAAGAATTTCATTCTCTTATGATTGAACGGGGTACGATGTTAAGAAAACTATGTTCTATAAAGGTGTTTTAAAATTTAAAGCTTCTATCATTTATTTTCACTCTATGGTACTTGGTATTTACCCCGAGGAAATCTTATCAAACACAACACTGTATCAGTGAATAGAAATCACTGTTTATTACTTGCGCAGAGAAGGTTCATGTGAAAAATTTGTTCAATTGATTTATCATAGCCTTTCAAAATGTCAATTATACTTGAATTGATTACAAATTGTGTACAGTGTTCTATACTGTGAAATTCTATTATTTAAAAATAATATATATGGACAGACCACTTTAACAGCAAAAAATACCATAAAATAAGAACTCTTTAGTGTGTAGTGTAGACAGGATTCTTAATAAGCTTTGAACATATAGAATTTAAGAAAAAGATAAGTTTATCAATATTAAATCTTTATTTCCTTCGATGAAAAGATAAATTATTTTGAAGATGAGTAAAAAATATTGAAGATATCTACAAATATTTCAAAATATTTTATAACTTTGTGAAATCCGGTTATCTGATTGGTCAATAAGTAGTAATTATTGAAAATAACTACCGCTGAAAGCGAATAATGACTTGCACGAACTGCCTCGTTTTCACTTTAGCTTTAGACAAACATGGAAACTAGCAACTTTGCAAGTTGTAGGTGAGGAAAATTAAAAACATATAGTAAAGAACTCTGAGGCTGAGAAAACACAACAATTACAGGGATATCTGTGAACATTTTTCGGGAATACTAAGCACATACCATTCCATAGTTGAATTCGACTTTTCCACTCGGAGAACAGAGTTTTGACGCTGTTTATGCGATAACGGATCAATAAAGACAACTGTCAAGCATGCCATGTATGGTTTAATCTTTTCGTAGAAGAGATGGATAGGCATTTTTATTTTGTCAGTGCATTTCCTCTACAAATGTATATAAAGCGATTCTCAATCTGGGGGAGGGGGTACTCTGTTTTACTCGGAGATAGATATCTTGTGTTATTGTTATGCTGTGGCCGTATGGGTTAAAATTCAATACCGAAACAAGTTCCTCTAAGTGACATTCAATAAATTCCGAAACATTTACATTCAACTTCGTTATGGTTAATACTATCTCTGTAAACATAAGGAAGACATACATTGTACATATAAATTTGGGAAATTATCATTCATATAATATGATAAATATAGACTCAATGTAGGTCAATATGCATTTATAATGACCCAGGATGACAGATATTGACCTCAGATACATGTGGAATGTCAACCTTGGGCTAGCACCCTCGGTCGATATACTCTGTGTATCTTTGGTCAATATCCGTCATCCTGGGTCATTATAAATGCATATTGACCTACATTGAGTCCATATTTGTATAATATTTGGCGTGCCGTACATATACGCATGTGCTGTTGAATAAAAACGCTTGTTATTTGATTTATGAAACAATTATTTTTTTTCTTTAGTTTTAAAAGACTTTTAGCATGTATCACATTAACATGTTTTCTTCATGAGAACAAGATGTGGTTTTAGTATATATCTTACACTGTATTTTTTTAATATAGAAGTGATTTTAGGAATTAAAATTTATCCGCTCTGAATTATTGAAATTCCATGCAGTAAAAACGTACAAATTTTCATTATATGACACCCTAAGTGATAATCTTGACGTCATGAATTTATATATATATATTTTCTTTTTTGCAGAGGATATAAATTTTTAGTAGATTATCCTTCAGAAACATACAACACATAGATCGCACACAAAGATCTTTTTTTATAAATGTGATTTTTTTGAAAGCATTTTACATAAAATATATAAAAAAAAAAACTAAAGTTGGTGACGGTTTAATGCCGACACTATTTTCTAAAGGAAAATAACCTCGAAATGAATAATTTTAAGACGTTTCTGCATAAAGCTTAGAAATATACCATATGAATAACGTCATATTTCAAAAATGGTAATCCGTTTTGCCATATTCTTTTACAATTCATCATATTCATCTAGTAAACTCGTTTTATAACGAATTTTATTACTTTAAAAAGAAAATTGAGTTTTTTGGCCTAATTAAGCCCTTGTTCTTTGAAATTCATTTATGGTTAATGCCATAATATAACAGAATTTCATAATTTGGTAGTAGAAATTCGCTAATCGGGGTTCTTGTAAAACATGCATGTAAGACATATTGCTCGAATAAAAGTAATATTCAGTAACAGAAATAGCATTTACTATTAAATGTCTCATTTTAGGAATTCCACAAATAGTTTATTTGACGAAGTTGGATAAAATTTGTCCATTTGTGGATGACGACGTTCGCAGAATATTCAACAGTGAGGCTTGTAAACAAGCTGTTGACAAAGCAGCTGAGGTCATCGGGCTTCCACGCTCTCATATTTTCCCAGTGAAGAACTATGAAAAAGAAACACAGCAGCAAATAGGAGTCGATATTTTGGCGCTCTCCGCTGTCAGACGGACGCTTGTGTATGCAGACGATTATCTCGAAGATCAGTTCGAACTCTCACAATCTGAAGAGCAACTTCAGCTTCTTAAACTGTAGTATCCCAGTGTTATATGTACAGCTTCTTGAAGCTTTAATTTACCATTTAAATCTTACTTAAATGACATTTTGCAATGTTTCATATTAATACCTTGTATTATTTCAACATATTCATCAATACTGAAAACAGATTCTTTAATTACGAAACATATTTTGACCAATTACTGATCTTTATATAGGATTTTAAAATCAAAAAATATTTCTTCAGAAGAAGATAAGTAAAATTAGATGATATACGAGTAATATATGGATACAAAAGATTAAAACAAGTTTACATGTACAAGGATCACAGAATGATGTACGTGGACTTTTTCTGACTATCAATAAAGGGAAGTCAAAAGGGGCTTAATCTGTCGACAGGGGGTATTTTCTTCTATATTCCCGATTCCAAAACTGGGTTTCCAAAGGGCCCCCCTCTTAACTCACATTGTTTAATGAAATGTGACCATAACAACAAGTAATCTTGCTCGAAGGAGAATTGGAGCACTACAAAGCAGGGCATGACCAACACAAACCTCAGGCTGTAGCAGAGGTTGGATCAGGTGGCATGGAGGAATAATCACTGATTGTGTGTTCTAAATAATGATCTGTTAAACGTTAAAATCCATAGACAATTTATAACATGGGGTGATTTATGTTCTTTTTTTCAAATCTTTCTGTATGTTTGTTAAAGGTATACATGTGCTACAACAATAAAACATCAATTGTTTTCTTAATATATTTTCTGGAATTCATTAAATGTTGTTTTTATTGTACATGCACACTGAAATAAACACCAAGACAATTCCATTTGTTTCAATGTATGAATCATACAATCTAATGTATAATAAATATTCTTCAGAATGGTCTGTGGAGATATACATGTAGTCTTTACAATTCGGTAGTTGTAAGGGCAGAAATCTTTACAAAGTCTACAGATCAATGCTGCAGCATTAGATTTGATTAGGCTGCGACCTAACTCCTCCATGTTGCATCCCATATAATTAATTCATTTCCTCCACATATGTTCTTAATGATTGGACAGTCATATGACCCGTCGCAATTACACTGGCATTTGAATTGACGACATCCGCTTTCATACTGGAATGGTTTATTTCCTTCATAAGAGATTCCAAACTTTCTACATTTTCTACAGGAATGTACAGTATTTATCATACTGACAATGAATAGGAGGACCAGGAGTCTTATCATCTACAAATAAAGAAATAATCCACATAGAATAAAGCTGAATTTAATTTAATCTTTTTATTCAGACTAAATTATGTTAGGTAAGATGAAACAAATGGAGATATCGAACAGTGCCCAAGATCAAAAGTCCTTAAAGCAATACAAAACGGGAGCAGAGCAGAGCAAACACGTACCTCCTACAACATCAAAGGTGGGATTAAGTGCCATAGAGGATTGAACATCCAGTGCCGACCGGTCACACCTGCCGTGCACTCCTCGTCATGATCGGATAATAACGAGAAAATCTGTCGTCGATTCAGTGTATAAATAATGGATTAATAAAATGACTCAATGATGAATTGTATTTACTGACAAGGTCATTGAATTCACCATAGAACTTACGAAATGATGACTTTAAACAATTGAAATTGTTCATACATAGAGCATGCTCTTGCGTATCGAATCAAATTAGATATATATAATCTGTATGCATTTGATGGAGGTATATTGCTTCGTAAGTAAGAAAAGTTGACGGTAGAAAGTTAAAGTCATCACATGATATTTTTGTTCAATAAATTATAATATGTCAATTACTGTACTGAAAATCTAATTTCTCTCGACAAGTTTCCGTATGTCCTATCTCATTTTTTCTGACTCAAACGTTGCCCCGGGATACAATCCTCATAAGCTTCTTAATATAAAAAGCAAAGCAAACATTATTATTTTTATATCAGTGACTTCATTCTTCACTAATTTTAATAAGAAAGTTTCAAATATGTTTTCATTGTCTGAATAGTAATACTAGTACAAGATTGAAGTCGGAGCTGTAAATAAAAAAAAATATATTGCATATAAAAACTACAAAATGTCGGAAATGAAAAGTTTAACATTCAGCACATGCTATATAGCCTAGTCTATGAGATTATATTGAAATCTTGTGTTCTCTCTTTTGTTGATTCGAAGTTTTGTTTTATATTAATTCATTACATGATCATGTACTAGGCACTTTCTGGCCTTTATATCTTAATTAAGATACATGTAGTTCACTATATATTCAATTTTTAATTTTTGAAATCAACAATTTGAAATGATCAAATGTAAAGATTAAATGAACCAGAACAAACTCTCAGTCGTCATTAATGAGATTTAACTCAAAATTGTTCATTGATAATTTTTTTTTTCATACCTTCTGAATTGAATTTTGATATTTACATTTGATAATCAGTAAAAGTTATCTCCACAATAAGAATTAAACATATAGAAATATTACCAAATCTGAACCTCCGCAGTAGGTAATGCGGTAAATACAGTAGAAGTAATACAGATATCGATATAGACAAGTGACCCCATCTTGGAAGAGATCCGTGTTTTGCATTGTATGCAATCTATTCACTTTGATAGAATATGGATTTTTTAATACATATATTAAACATAGCTTTGTCTTTGGATAAACAACAGTTAAAAGATTTTTGCGTTTAACGTTTTCGAATAATCATGAATTAATAAAGACAAGAAATTCACCGAAACCCTGATAGTCTTTGCCAGGGATTTTATATACATGTTTCGATACTTTTTCTTCTATGGCAGAAGCTACTACCTCTGATGTTTTCAGAGGTACGTGTTTGCTCTTCTCCCGATTTGTATTGGGTTTGGTTACCGTTTGTTATCTCCATGTTTAATGTATTTCCCTGTAACAATTTATTTATTTGAGCATCACAATATTTGAACTTCTGACCTTAAACTTTGAGTTGACATACATTTATATAAACTTTGACCTTGGCTTAACGTTTGAACGGTTTGATCTATGGCTTTCATATTTTATCTATGTATTCCATATGAGAAGAGCCTTAGAAGGGTACCAACATTTTTTTAAAATTACATCCATCTTGTAGAAGGAAGAGATAAGACACATTGTCGTTAATTGACAGTAAAAATTATAATCAAAATCATATCCTACATACATTTTAATTTTTTCTATTATTTCTAGAAAACTACCTTATATAAGTTGAAAATAAGCGATTGAACATTTGTGTAGCGGTGATATTTTATCTTTTACATCATGCTATTGATTTTTTGTCGCCTCTTTCAAATCATTTTTAGCCGGGCTTATTGCTCAAAGAACAATTGCCGGTGTAAAGACGAATAATGACCCCCATCGAATAATGACCGGGGGGTCATTTTTCAATGACAAAAAATGACCCCCACCCGTAGAAAAAAATCATTTTTTGTAGAAAAAGGGTCCTAGGGGGTCATTATTTTATATGTTAGTCCTATAAAATAATGACCCCCATTGAAAATTGACCCCCTTTGAAGTGATACAAAATATACACTCTTTGATATCTTTTTTACAGCGAAACTAATTTTTACATATTTTCTGTAACCAGGAAAATACAAAAGTCGTATGAAATAATTAAGAGATTCACGTAGTCTTTCAATGCTTAAATTGTGTTTGAAAAGAGATTCTTTAATTATCAAGCAAATAAAATTTCTTTTTAATATTCCTCCCTATAATGTTTGCTTAAAGAATGATATTTCACTTGTTGAAACCAAACCATGCAAAATCAGGTTTAAATACTTTTCAACAGGAAAAATTAAATTTTCCGTCATTTAAATTTTTAGTTTGTTTAAGTTTGGCAAATCCTATTTGACAATGAAAGAGGAAGAAATTTTTATCCCCACCCAAAAAAAGAACATTACGTTAAATCAAAACAAAAAAAAAAAAAAAAAAATAAATGAAAAGAAAAAATATAAATAAAACTCTATACCTTTCAATAATTCTGAAAGAGGCTCTAGATAAAATATTGAAATGAAGCTAAGCCTTCACACAAGTACTATCATATCATAATTTACTTCGCTGTGATTAAAGCATACTTTAAATGATGGTGGAGGTATACTTGAAAGTATTGTGGCAAAGTAACAGTTAAAAATTAGTAGAATAGTATACTTGTCAAACTTTCTAAGTCCCGACTTTTATTTTTGCAAAAATTCCAAAACCCTTAACTTCAATTTACTACTTAGTTGCTTACAAATTTGCCTTTAATTTGTAATACTTACCTGTCAAAGCCAAAAAAATGTAATTGAATGTGTAATTGCTCGACCGTGACGGTTTTTGTTAAAAAGCATGAAGTTTGATTTCCATATGTTTTTCGGGTGTATTCTTCATATTTTTTACTTCCACTTCTTTTACCTTTTTACTTCTTCAATTGATAACGAAAAACAGAAAAAAAGGTTTGATTAAAATGAGGTGTATGTCCATACAATAATTTGAAAGTGAAGTTGAAATGACCCAAACTGGTCGTTGTTAACGAGAATTCTGTTTCCTTTCACTGTATGACTTTGTTTTACTTAAAAGTTTTTTAATTACCGCCAGAAAAACCTACAAAACGTACCTGAATTTCTTTTAACCGTTACAAATCGCTAGATTTTCAACAAACACCATAAAATCATCCTACAGTTTATCCGGAAAAATCAATGGAACCGGAACCGGAAGTGTCCTCCCCTCAATGTCAAACTGGGGGAGTGGGGGATACATGTAAGAAGACATGTAACTTTTGTTGATAAGGCACAGACAATTTCGATAAGCCCCCTTGTCATCCGAATCTCAACCCTAATAAGAGCATGCATGGAAGAAGATAAACCGGAGTTTAAGACAGCTTTTCCAGCAGCAGAATCTAGTGGAACTAGAGGACGACCTAGTCTCCACATGGAAAAACATTCCATAAAAAAAATTTCTTAAATAGTGTGAACTCTTTGAGGAACGGTAATCTTGCTGTGAATTCGTTTGAATGGAGAATAATGCAGTATTTAATGTTGTGAATTTTTAATTCAAGGGTGCCTTAACTTTTCAGCATATTGTGCTATGGCGCTTAAATAAGAATAAAGTAAGTAAGAAAAATTATTTTCCTACTTTATTATTCTGTATATTTATTTAATTATACTGTTAAAATCATTTATTATAAGAGGGGTGTAAAGCAAAAACTTGCCTGGGGACTTAGAAATTTTGACTAGTACAAAATATTTTTAGCTTATTTTTAATTCCTTCTTTTAGAAAAATAAAGGTAGGGTGGTTTTATTTTTGCTTTTGTTCAATATCGACTACCTCCTAAATAAGAAAGGGGGTGGTGTAAGTATAAGTTCTAAAAATATGCTCTGTAAAGCTATGGGCTAGTGTCATTCTAATGCAGTCATTCTAATGCAAAAACTATGCATGTAGACATAAACTTTTGATTTAGCACACAGTATTCATTACATTTCTTTTAACGTAGAACGTAGAACCTACTTCGTATGACATCATAACTTGTAAATGTGTTAAACCTGTGCTAACCCATTCAGACGTCATAATTAATTCAATGCCACTTTTTCCCGTACTTTACAGCTTCAATAAAAATGGTAGAAAATATTGCATTTTGAAATTCACAGAATTCAATCATGCCAACATAATCTTGATTCAATTCATATATTTTTTGGTTTATAATGCTTAATGGCAATATATTTCTGGAATAAGAGAACATATGTAGGCACCTTTTATTTACTAGATCTAGACCTGAAGTTGACAAACCCAAGACTATCTAGTGTAATGAAATTACAATGTACATACTACTTTCGTAATAATTTGAATGGTATGTAACCATTTTGAAGGAATGCATAAATCGTAAGAAATCTTTAGTTGCCAGCTATATAGTGTAATATCTTGATGAAATGTGTCTAAGTCAAAGATGTACGTGTTGTAGATCGTTTGATCGGGTGTACATTTTTGTGATATCTATAATGAAATGATGTGCGTTCCATTTAACAATTATTTGTTACCTATTCATATTTTTGGTGTTTGATTACAATTTTTATATTAAATATGATCTTTTTAAAGAAAAAGTACAATTTCTGATAAATATTTAATCTGAAAGTAACCCCAAACAGTCATTTAATTATTAAATCCCGTGTAAGTGCAAAAAGTTCAAGAATATGAGTATCGGTAAATAGCCTATCTTTCATTAGTTAGAGGGGAAAGGTATATATTTTAATCATTTTTTTGTAATCATTTGGCTATGTTCTTCATCATATTGAAGATTGAAAACATTATGACAAAGACTTTCAAAAAATATTTACAAATATAGTGTGAATAATTGGCTAAAAATAATAGAGTTCATTTGACTATTTTTTTTTAATGGTGGACTTATCTTTTATGTCAATTGAATAAAAAAGAAATTATTCTTGATAAAATATTGTTTAATATTATTCTGTTTAAAAAGTTTATAAACGACGATGTTTGAAGAAGTATTTTTGTGATTTTTCATATTCCCTTTATGACAAGTACCCCTAAAAATATTTGAAAATGTGAAGTCGCAGTGTGTAAATTCCATACCAAGTTTCACAGCTTGTTCTAGATTAAAAAAAAAAACAAGGAAACATATCATGATATCTTAACTGATTGATAAGCAAGTACTAATTTATCATTTTGAAAAGTTTGAAAATCTTGTGACAAAGACTTTTCCGACATAGGTTCTACCTTAATTCTTGTTTCACTCCACCCTTTTACTCAGTTCTGAGTATATTTTTCAGAGAATTTAATATGAAAATCAGAACAAACATTTTCATTGTTGTAATGTCTTTTTTATATGTATATTAATATGAAAATTTAATTAAAGACCATTTCTTTTTATGTCCCCGTAATCGAAGATTCGGGGGTATATAGTTTTATCGTGTTCGTCTGTATGTCCGTCTGTCTATCTGGCGGTTTGTTTGTCCGCAAAAACCTTAACCTTTACCATAACTTTTCGTTTATTGGAGCTATGACTTTCATATTTAGTATGTATATTCCTTGTGACAAGACCTTACTTTGGGTACCACCAAATTTTACCTTTTGACCTTTACCTTGGAGGTTATCCCATTTTACACAAAAATGCCAAAGAACTATATGCGGTATATTGCATATATTTGCCCCCACAAAAGTCAGATTTTGAAAACTTCCTCAAATGTGCTGAATTCAATAAGTTGTATGAGAAATATAAATTAACAGAAAATATTATTATGTCAAAGCAGTGTATTCACAATTTTTTGTTTTTATGACGTCACAAACTAGTCCGATTTTATATCCTTTTCAGAAAGAGGACAAAATGGACAAAATTTCAACAATTTTAGCTTTAAAATTTATAGAGCGCAAGTTTGTTCAGGAACAATATTGACATATTTCATTGATATTATCATTCTACACATTATATCAAAATATTGATCCTGAACACATATGCGCTCGGTGACTTTTACTCAAAATATCGACAAAATATTGACATTTTTCTGTAAAATTCATAAAAAACTGAAATTAACGTAATGTTTGTGACGTCATTACGTAAATATGGCGTCATTACTTATGAAAATATTCAGTGCTTTGAAGTCAGCATATACTCCCCTGTTTAAGAACTTAATTAAATATATCTCCATCAAAGTTTGATTTGGGGGGCAAATATTGGTTATTACCGAATAAAGTTCTTTTTACATTGGCCATAACTTTTAAACGGTGGATACTAGTACTCTCATACTTCAAATATGTAGTTTTTTGGCATTACCTTTCGTTGGATACTAAAAACCTTGACCTTTTGACCTTGACCTTGGAGTTTTCCGTACTTATGATTTTTTTTTACCTTGGCCATAACTTTTGAACGGTAAGGGCTAGGGTATTCATACTTCACATATGTTATCCTCGTTACATTAAACATTTTCTTAAGAAATCATCAACTTTGACCTTTGAGTTTGACCTACCTTTCAAAAACTTATCCTTAGCCATTACTTTTGAACAAGTGGTGCTAGGGCTTTCCTATTTTGCAGTTGTATTTCTTGTGAGAAGACCCTTCTTTGGGTCAAAATATATTTAAATTGCATTTAAGAAAAGTTTAATCTTCGCTATGTTGCCATACAGGGGCATAGCTGTTTCACAAACACAACTTTTTATATATGAGGATTTGCGGATAAGAGATGGATACCTCAAAGCGCACAGACAGACGGACGGACATCCCAATCACTATATACCCTCCCGCTTTTCAAGCGGAGTATATAATAATGTATAATACTGCTGATTATTTCTGTCAGTTCGATGATTTCCACCATCAAAAAACAATGTTTACCTAACCCTTAAGGCTTGATAAATCTTTTACTCCTTTGGATTCTGAATCATTGCATTTACCTTAAAATATAGCTTTAATTGTATAATGTTATGAGATCAACATCTCATCATTTTTTTCCCAATAAGCTCAGGCGAGCATTTTAGCCAATATACTTCTTTATCCATTTTTTTGCCCCCTAAAACTTTTAGCTTTAATCTACAGGGGGTACCAGATTAATTCTGATTCTGACAAAATCGGACCGTGGTGTTAGGATTGAAAAACACTCTGTCAGTGTCTTATCATTTATATTGATAGTTTTAAAATATTTTTTTCATCAGAATATAAACGTGATTCATGTAAGAAATCCATTCTACTCTGTAAATGAGCCCGGCTCTCTGTACTTCTGAGTACTTTGATTCATTTACATATTAGGTAAATTTAGTGCATTTTTTTTGTAATTTCAGAATGTACTTCATTTAATACTTTATTTAATACTTTTAGTAATCCAGTTATGGCTTAGTAAACAGGAAGAACAATTTTCTTAAAACATTTTCTACTCGTACATAACACTTAATAATTAGTCTTTTAAATTGTGTTTATATCTTGTTTTGAATGTCTACATTATATAAAACGCTTGCTGTGTGAATTGTAGAGGAAAACACTTGAATATATCGAATAAGGTTAAGAAACAGTTTTAAGTATAATTTTTCAGCATAAGTATACTTCTCAAAATTTCTAAGTCCCCACTTTTATTTTTTCTAAAAGTTCAAAAACTTAATATCAATGTACTAGTTGCTTTTAATTTTGCCTTTAATTTGCTATAAATACCTGTCAAGGCCAAAAAAAATGTAATCAAATGTGTAATTACTCGACCATGACCTTTTTTGTTAAAAAGCATCAAGTTCCCTAACGTACATGTATGGAAGAAGATACATCTGAGTGTGAGACAGCTTTTCCAGCAGCAGAATCTAGCGAAACTAGAGGACGACCTAGTCTCCACATATAAAAACATTCAATAAAAGACTTTTTCTTAAATAGTGTGAACTCTTTTAGTAACGGTTGTCTTGCTGTGAATTCGTTTGAATGGAGGATAATGCAGTATTGTACGTTGTGAATTTTTAATTCTAGGGTACCTTAACGTTTCTGCATATTGTGTTAAAGTGCTTCAATAAATAAATTAAGTGCGAAAAATTGTTTTGCTACTTTTTAATCCTGTATGCTTCTTAAATTATACTGTTAAAATAATTCAATATAAGAGCGGTGTAAAGCAAAAACTTCCCTGGGGACTTAGAAATTTTGACTAGTGTATATTGGAATGGAATTTACATCTGCACATCAAAAACAAAATGTAGTCATTTGTTTTCCATTATTGTTACTTTTTAAAGGGCAAAATATTTACAAAACAAATAAATCACATTGAAATTAATTTTAATTTTTAGCTTAAAATTATTCAATTAGTAAAAAGCATTACCATCTTTAGTTGAATGCAGTAATTCAATAATGGCGTATAAAAATGAATTGCACAAAGATGTTCTCCTTAAAACAAACTGAGACGATTGGACATTCCATGCTACATGTATGATATATCTTGTTTAAACTGTAGTATAGTATACATGTGCATTGAAAAAGTCGTAGAAAGAAAGTCATCAGATGAACACTTTCAACCTTAAATTTACAATTTACAAGTCATGCATCTCATGCAACTTGCATAAGGAGTTGATCCTTCTGGTGGGGCGTGGAGACCCGTCCTTCGGGTGAGACCATATAAACCGAGGTCCCGTGTCGCAGTGGGTGCTGGCACGAAAAAGATCCCTTCCTGCTCAATGGCATTAAGTGTCGAGTATAGGACAAAATTTGCGTTCTCCGCCAGCAAATGGTGTATTTATATAAAGAGGGGGTATATATCCCTCTAATGAAGCTTATAACGGCTTATTAACAGAAATTCTGAGGGTTAATTCATGCTGTGATTCATATTTTATAACGTCATATACGTTACCACGACCTCATGTGAATGACATTTTACTGTAATTAAGCTAAGTGTTCAAATTCACATTTAATAGAGTAAAAGTGGTTTCTATTTTTTGGCTACCAAAACCCAAAGCATGTTGAATAATTTGAGCAAAATCATTCAATACAAAAGCATTTTCGTTTACATTGTTTAAAGTATAACTGTATTTGTTTCCGAAATTTTGTATCAAAGTAGCCATAGATAAAGGGATTCACAATATTATTCATAAAAATAAACCGTCCAAAATAAAGCCAGGCTAGTGTTTCAGATTCTGACAGAGTGATATAATTAAAATCTTTAATAGCATAAATAAGAATCAAAATTACAAGCGGTGGAATATAAGCCAATACATAAGCAATTATTATGACAAGAAACATTTTTGTGATTCTTGTCTGCACGGATCCATCTTTAGGACGCGCCTGTTTGCATTTCACTGTGCCATCAGGGTTTTGAACTTTGATTTCCTCCTGTGTGTTGATGTCTGATGTTTCTTCTAAAGTTTCTGCAATGTGTTCATGTTTGTGTGGTTCATTTTCTTCGATTGACACATTAACTCTTTGTAATTCTGTGCCATCAATTCCACAATTTCCTTTGTCAAGTTCAGTTAATTGTGTTATCTGTGAAGATTTGGTATGCAAAGGAAAGTTAAAGTCATTTTGCGTGCTTCTCACTTTTATTTTCCGACGAAAAGAAAGCTGAACCTGTCTCAAAACGGGCACATAGAGTCCAGTCGTTATCCCAATGTTTGCCAGTATTATAAGGAATAAAAGTCCAAAATACACGGTTAATACTGGTGAAGTGTCAACGGAAAATTTACATATTTCTATAGTAACGGTGTGATTCATAAACTTATCAACCTTCCTTAAAACCCCCGAAGTTCGTAGCACCGGGACAGAATATGCAATAGCAATTCCACATGCTATTCCAAAGAAAACTCTTTTCCAAAATAAAGTCATTTTAGGACCGAATGGTTTGCAAACCAAAAGGTACCTTTGTAAAGATATTACCACAAGTACATGAGCCGACGCTCCAGGAACACACATCTGAAGAAACGAAAGAATTCGACAAACAGTATCACTTGGGTAATTGAAGAGAAAGATATTGTCCATAATGTAGAGAGGGGGGATTGTCAAACATGCCACAAGATCAACAATGGCCAATAACGGAATAAAGTAACGCTCCCCTCTCTCTCTGATGCGAAAAAAGTAGAAAAAGATAATGGTAAGGTTTCCTATGATCCCGATTACAGCACCAATTACAATTATTCTTGTGCTGCTCACAGAAATATTGGAATGTCTTTCTTGTAGTAACAACTGGTAATCCGTGTTGTTTTCCATAATTGAATGATCTAGACTTGTATAATAAAGTAGACGGTATATATTCATATATTGAGTAACTTCCTTATTGAATACATACGTACAAGTCATTTTATTAAAACAACCAGATCAACTTGACAACACTTGTTCATGTAGTCAAATGCTGACAGACGTTTTTCATACCAATTGTTAGTCCATTATTTATACGAGGGACGTACAATAAATAATGTCATCGGGGCTCGGAAAGAATCAAAAGACGCTTTTCAATGATTTAATCTTCATGATTTTACTAATTAATCTCCTTTGATTAAAACAGATGTCCGTTATTTTTCTAAATCTAATTTCTGATTGTATTTAGAACTCATTTTTGGGTATGACCCTTAGTATACTGGAAAAAGGCAGATCAAATGATTTCCTGGACTTGTTTCTTCTTTCCGAAAGGTGGTATTTCAAGTTTGGAAATAGAAAAAAGTCAAAAGGTAGAAGATCTGGCGAATATTGTTAGTGTGAAAAATTATTAACTTTCTTTTTATCCCGAAAAGCCCATTTACTCTTCAGGGGTGCGGGTTTGGACGCTGTCATGAAGAAATTTAATGTAGTGGATTCCTGCTTAGTGATTTGATGCCCATTATATAATTTTTTATCATTGAAATCCACTTGCTTATTTGTCTATAAAACAGGCATTGGTTGGTGTAAATGTCACAAATTTCAGTGAAAATTTCTTTAAGATTTTTAACACGTTTTACAGCAGCTTTAATGAAGCTTTTAATTCCACTCTAGTTTACTGAATCTTTACCATTCATTTTTAATGCAATGTTTCGAATAGCCCTTGTTTCCCAGCTTCTCACGATGAAACTATGTGATGAAAAGTGGTCACATAGACTGTTATCAATTCATTAAAGATTCAATAATAATAGAAAGTCTAGTTTTATGTCGTATGATTTCTAATTGTATGACATCGAGCTAATGACATTGTTTATTGAACGTCCCCTCGGTAGGGGATGTTCACTCCTCCATGGAACCTGATCCCATCTCAAATGTTTCGGAGGTCAATGTTTGCTCTGCTCTTACTTTGTACTGTTTTATGGACTTTGAAACTGAATACTGTTCGTTATCTCCATATCCTTCTTGTAGCAATTCGCAATACAATCCCACATCTGCACAGGATCTCTTGAGTCCAATAAAAATGACGCTGCTAAGGGTAAATGTTGTAAATTGCCTTCGATTTTTTTTCAATCAGATTTTACATTACTTCTACAATATAAAAAACATATTACAGATCAAAAATATATTTCTATTCACTCTGTTTCTCTCGTATATAACATTATACATGTATATAATTCTTAGTATATAGTTCTGGTGTAGAAAATTTATATTTGAAGCTTAAACTCTAATTGTTTTCTGAAATTCAACTTCATTTTTAGATTCACACCACTAAATTTACAGTTGTTTTCATACACTACTTTCTAAACGTTGTTAAGGGTCAGAATTCATATTTATATTATGTATAATATATACGTTTTTTAATTTTTTTTAGGTTCGTGGTTGTATTAAATATTGGGATAGGTCTAAAATAAGACGGCAATGAGTTAAAAAAAAAATTTTAGTCTAGAAAACTCTTCTCCTTAAGAAAAAATTCTCGTTTAAAAATATTTTTAGTTTTCATATTTTTGTAAAATATATCGCATGTAAAAATATATCTTGAGAAAATTCTTATTAGAATTAGTGATGTAACTTTCAGCTAGCATGCTCTGTAATGTAATCTAAAATTTGAAAAATCACGTACATGTAACTGATATTGCTTTTGCCTACATTTCTTGAAGACTTCAAAACTAATTAAATAACTCAGTGTGTTCTAACTGAATAGTGAATAAGCAATGTATAAGGAAAGCTTTTCTTACATTGGATCTGACCCCCCCCCCCCCCAAAAAATTAAACTTAATATTTTACTACTTTAAATATAGAACATTTCGTTTGCACTGGTATTGAGAGAGCCTTCGGTGGTTAAAGTGTACATGAACTTCCTCAATTTAACATTCATGGCTCAACAGACAGTAATTATTGCTGTCATACTACTCTCTCTCTCTCTCTCTCTATGTGTCTTCCAAAAGAACAAATATCATGCTGAGTTGATCACAATTATGCTTCCAACACATGAACATATCATGAGGAAGGATATGGAGATAACGAACAGTATTCAATCTCAAAGTCCATAAAACAATATAAAATGGGAGCAGAGCAAACACGTACCCCTGAAACATCAGAGGTGGGATCAGGTGCCGTGGAGGAGTGAACATCATTTATACCATTTAATATACAACTCTTAACATTTAATTGTCTTGATTGAAATATTATTTAATCAACATTATGAATATTACTCAATATTATGGATTTTATTAAGGGAGAAACTTTCATAACAGCACATACTTACAGATATTAAGCTAATTAAAATATATTCAATCATCAAACGCAGTAAAGACTTATCCTACCCAAACACCCATAATACAGTACACTACACATCAACATATCATTTAATGTACATTTCTTTACTTCAAAATGCCTATACGAAAACATTCTTTAATCAACATCAACGTAACAACAGTGAACAATCAACATCATGTTTCCATAAGCAACTTGAAGGTGAGGATATGGCCACATGGGCACCTAATATTATGTGTGCATCTGCAGGCATACAATCAGGTTTGGTGGGGGTAATAACCATCAAAATGAATACCGTACATCTGCCCAAAAGAATTTTCAATTCCATGTACTAAATTAATTAATTCTTTACAAGGATATTCTTTTCTTTAATCCTCACTGGCAAAATACTTTAGGGCTCCCTGAATGTTGTTTAGGAACATGTAATTCCCGAACTCTGACAAGTGTGTTAAGTCTGAATGATACAATTGTACAGCGCTACTTATAAATTGGGAATGCCTGATAATTCTTCCCCCTTTTAGAAATACCCGTTTTGCTGTCCATCTGTTTAGTCAATCACTTGCCTTCTCAATGATCACTATAACTTTATTTGAGTGTCGCCATGAAATGCGGGAAAGAAGAAAAAAACCCAAAAAAGGAGTGTTGATGAGGAATCTTTAAAGTAATTGGATGTCCCATTAATGCTATAATCTTGACAGTTTAATTTGACCCAGATCATTGGGTAAATGAGTTAAAAATTTATATATCTTGGAGGACCCTCCACGCAGTAAACTTAAGGTAACAAATTGAAATATCGGCTTTCAAAAAAAAAATAATAATAATAAAAAAAAAAACATTTTCTAGTAGGACGGGCGATGAAATTCTTTTTAGGACTTTATTAATATTAGAAAAATGTTAAATGGATCTGAAATACATCACTTAATTTTCAAAGTTTGTTTAATAATTTATTCTATAGATAACAGCAAAAACAATACTACTTCACAGTTTTTAGCGGTGATTTAATTATCATTAAAGAAATACCGGACAGTCAGGGTAACGACATGGTGTTTTAACAGAAATTAACTGTTAAAATTTTTAACACAAAATGACCATTTACCCTACAATCTCAATCCGGAGAACCATAATTACATCCAAGTCAGCTTGGATATGTAAAAACGCTGAATTAATAACCTTTATTTAAAGATATTTTCTTTTCAAAAATGAATTTCTAACAAAATTAGGTTCAAATTTATATAATTTTTTTTCCCGACTACATGTAACCGATTACAGATTTTCTAACCGATTGCCATCTTTCCGACCGAGTAATCGATTAGCAGGTTACAAATTGCCATCCCTAATATATAACAAAATTAAATTCAGCAAAGCAATGGAAACCGTCGAATCGTATTTAAAATAACTTCTTTATTATACCCCCCGCTTGAAAAGTGGGGGTATATAGTAATCGGTATTTCCGTCCGTCCGTCCGTCCGTCCGTCCGTCTGTACGTCCGTCCGTCCGTCCGTCCGTCCGTCCGTCTGTCCGTCCGTCTGTTACGCTTTGGGGTACCCATCTCTTATCCGCAACTCCTCTCATACTAATGAATGAAATTTGATGAAACTTTCACAGAATCTTTATTACATATTGCCATTGTGCACCTCCTATTTTACTTTTTGATCCGACAGATATTTTGGGTTTCCCGGCCACAGGAAAAGATGGACTATTTCACCAGTTATAACCATATGGGAGGCGGGGGGTATCATTTAGTGAGCTCATCGCTCACAGTACCTCTAGTTTAAATTATCTACTCTGAACGAACATGTATTAGTATATTAACCTATATCATAGGCGCTTGGGTCAAGGATACTGTATATTTTCTATATAATGCATTGTCGAGGAAATTCGAACTTACTCGTAACATTTTTTTTTCAGTGTGCAGTATTAATTTTTAGTTTTTTGTAAACCTTTGTGCTTCATATACACTAAAATGTCACGGAAATTCGATTTTATGCACGCTTTAAAAATGACATATCGCACTGTATACTAAAAAGAAACTGTTAAGTAAGTTCGAATTTCCTCGACAATGCATTATATAGAAAATATACAGTATCCTTGACCAAAGCGCCTATGACCTTTATGACCTATATGATCAAAACTATGACACGGACCTTGTTTACAAAATAAAGTTTTCGAGCTCTAAATCTCTCTCTTTTATCTTGACAACTGACGTTCTTTTTTGATAATCATCAGAAAGTTCTTTGTTAAAAGTTAGTAAAAATGGAAAAATAAATTTTGAAATTATAGTTAAAACTGTGTACATGCCCCTTTAAAGAGAGGAAACATGTGCATTGTTCCCATTATTTTCAAATTGTGTTTTGTCATTTATGTTAAAAAAAATAATAAAATAAAATGTTCGTGCTCGGTCGATATTTACTTTTCTGTGAAGTCGATATATCTACGGATCAACGAAGCCTGGAGGCCTTGGAAGAATCTGTTTATGTAATGGTTTGTTATATCACTATCCC